AGAAATACGATTCGATTTTCTTTGTCTCCTCTGGCTCAATTTCAGAGATAAGTCAACGTTTCGGTGAGAAAGTGGTCTCTCAGTTCGCTTCTGCTCCTTTGGGATCCCGCGAGTGTTCGTGTATTTTCACGCGATAAACGAAGCGTCTAAAATATTTATTTAGCCCATTTACCACGATCTAGCAGTCGCTCTAGCAGCGTTTCGTCTAATTGCCTCGGATTACTCTGCTCTTTATTGCTCTCTGGCAAACCATTCGAATCTTTCTCTACAACATTAACGACTTTGAAAATTACTCGACCAAACTGTAGACAACCAACAGCACTCGGTAACCAAATGGGCGCGAAAACCGAACGACACCCGGTGCACATCGTGAAAAAGAGTAAGCCCCGGTAATAGGATTACATCGTGTCGAGCGACAGATTTCGACTAGATATTCAACTGGCCTGGAGCTTCAATATTTGACAATTCGAATTAACGTTCCTACGATTCCCGCTATCGATTCGCTCCCGTGAGCGCGTGTTTCGTATAATCCACATAGACGCTACTGAAAATCGCTGGAACGTTTGTCATAGACCGCTACACGAAAGCTTTTTCGCGATCAATCTCTGGACTCACGTGAATTTCGTCCAACGGGTGTCCCGTTGCAACGCTGTGCTCCTAGTATCCGTGTTTGTATCGTGTTGCAGTGTACGGAACCATAGATCTTCACGCCCCCTTCCTCCGAGATTCACCCTCTTACGTGGCCTTTTCTTCGCCGTAAATCTCGCGGTTCGCTTTCAGCCTGGATTGCCTCGCCGGACGCAGAGCCAGCATCGTCTAATTAGCTTTCTGTCCAATTAAGGCTGCCCTAAACGATTCGGGGAAGCAAGGAAATCGGGTTGACACTCGGTGTATCGCGGCACAGTATCTCTTCATTCGAAACATTCGATCGAAACGGCTATTTTAATCATCGTTCGTTGCTATCACCGATGATCAATCTTGTTTACAAGGTTACAGAATAGGTGCACATGCTTCTTCCGATAGTTGGAAAATTGGAATCGTTTAAAGAGCTGATTCGACTGAGCCAGGTTAGCTCGGTCCAAAGTTTTTTGGACTGCACTTTCAAAGTATCTGACAGTCTTGAGCAGCTGTCGTTTGCAAGGAACTGCAGCGAAATGCTTCTATTTTCTATCGCAATGGCTACAATAAATTGAATTCTACGACGAGCTTTAGCTCTGCACGTAAGGAAATCGCGGAATTATTCACGATGTATGATATTCTAGAACGGCCCGTTCATATTTTATTCAGTACCCATAAATTCCGAGTATTCCATTAAGCTTGTTCGCGAATTAAGCTTTCACCGATTCCACGAAACTTCGAATTTTTATCTGTTAACCTGACCTAATGCTACACTCAGACGAGCTAGAGAAAAGACCAGATCCATCGTTATGACTGTCGTGAATTATTAGCTCGACCTATATAACAATTTATTTCGCCATGGCTAGGAAGGTCCGATCCGCAATCATCGGACTCATTTCCTGCCTGCTTTCCTACCATGCCGCTTCCCCGAGTAATCAAAGCGAAAATAAAACTACGCTAACCGTTAATTTCCGAAAAAGGATCATTCTTTCCTGATCTATTTTCTGAACAGCTCGATACCTAACCGGGTTAAAGCCTGATGCATAAATTGTCAATAAAGGTGGGAAATAAAGCTTCATAATCCTGACGAGTTCTGAAAACAAGCTGGCCATTGTTCGGTCACAACATCGGGTAACGTGTTCCAGGAAAGGTGGAGAGGATGAGCTATCATATTCTGGCTGGCTAGCACGTAAAACAAAATGAAAAATCGAATCTCGATTAGGGCGATCCTCCTACTAGGGCACATCGTGCTACATCTCTGCCTTGCCACTTCACTCATCGTTCACATTTCCTTCCCTGAATCCTTCTTATTCGCGGCATTATCATAATGCCATCGGCCGCTACGTGACAGGAAAGACGTATTATCATGGCTCGTTCTAGTTTTCCGATCCTTCTCGCAAGCTTATCGTCCTTGGCTTGAAATCAACACGAATTAATCGTCGTGCATCGGTATTTTCACAAACCCGATAACCCTAACTGCTAGATCACCTGATATTCCATGGCATATTATAATGGAACGAATAAGAACGAGCTAGACATGGTTCGAGTAATTGAAATTTGTAGAAACGTCATGATCATAATTGCACGTGCAATTCAGTTTAACAAAGAGACGCTTGACTAAGATGAATTACGTGTTTGGCGAAATAGAAAAGTATAGTATTCCTGAACCAATAATCATTCGTGTGTGCAAGGCTAAATTATATTTTACATAACAATCTCTGACAAGCTTTCTCTTTTCGCTGGGATGATACGCAAGAAGTTGTGTATCATTTACGTATGAGCGAGAGACTCTTCGAGCAAGTGTAGGTAGTTGTTGGAAACTTTGTTTGAAACGTTAGTACATGCAGACACTCGCTTTGCGTACCACATTTACCGGCAGAAGAATTGCTACAACTCCGGAAACCAGTTCCATTCAGTGTTTCCATTTTCAGGCCTTGAATCCTCGAGATATGCCTAGTGTATTTAATATATTTACTGCTACCCTCGGAGAAGTACTTTTTACCTTTAATTTCCATCGTTTCTTATAAGTTCCGTCAGTTTAGTCCATGGAACTTATCGATCAAGTTCATTCGTGGAACACGTTAGGCTTTAACAGTGTCTGTTACACAAAACTAGCACGATTGCACAGATCCAGATCTAATATTCGAAACTCGGACATCGTCGAATGCCACTTGGTCAATCCACTAGAACCAGTCGCATCATAGTGCTAGCATAGTGCCTAACCCAGCGTCAGTATTCGCCTAACTTCACCGCAGAAATAACTTGGTCTATCACGGCGCATATTCGAACATATATATTACCCACGTTACATTAAGCCAGAACGAAGAGGGGAGGCAGGCTTACATCGGTAGTTGCAAGAATTTTCAAAGAGTTTCCTCTCGGTAACGTCTAAACGCGTTGAATTCCTGTCGGCGGCTCCCACAGGAACGGGAACGGAAGCGGATGGTTGGCAGGGCGCCAGACGACACCTCCAACTTCTTTCTTGCGCGTGTGCGCGTGCACACGCACGCACACACACGCGCGAGCCTAGCTGTAACAGCGCACGGTTTCTCTCTATCCAGCAGAGGCCAAGTAATAATCCTAACTCGCGGGTTAGCCGGGCTTAATTAGAACAGGGGTTAGTGGCTTGCTGGTTATAGTCGCGTCTCCACTATTCGATACTGGCCACCTCGCTTCATTTTGCACCCTTCCTAGCCTGGAAGAAGCGGCTGTCTTGATAACGGACGACCAGTCTGCAACTGATACCCGCGCGTTGCGCATTATTGCGCCAAGTTATTGTTCTAACATATTGCCAGGCTGATGGACGTGGTTTAAGGTGTATACTTTGTTCAAAGTGTTTGCTACTGACGTACTGCAGATTGCAGGGAGCCAGGGGATTCGGCTAGTCTGATGGTATGATGCAACGCTGGTAATTTCATTTGCAAAAGTGAAATATAGACGTATCTCTGCGGTGACTATTCGCGTTGGTAATCCACTTAAAAATCACACCTAGACTGTCATTGTTATGGAAGTGTAGTGGGTATTTTTCAAACGACATCGGGATATTAATCGATCTGTTATTTTCGCTGAAAGCTTCAGCTGGTATTTTTAAAAAGTCGAATTTCGTCGATGATAAGGAAACAATTCCGATATGCAAAAAACAAAGAAGTTTAGGGAGGAGGGAGGAACTTGGTGAAGAAAGAGGGAACCAAACAACGGAACTAGGCCAAAAGCAAAAGACAGAGCGGAGGAAGAAGCAGCTGACCAGAAAGACACACCCGGACCGGAGAAAGGACAAGATAGACGTCGCTGAGACCGGGTAGAAGATCCAGGGAAAACTGCTGTCGCCATTGGACGAATGCAAAAGAAAGCGGATTCTGGCCGACAGGGTGAACGATTCTCTTCCAATTGGCTGACAATGGCGCGAGTGTAGCCGGCCAGGACTCGATCAATCGGCCTTTTTGCGACTCGTCGAAACGCGCAGCGATCGGATGGCGTTCGATAAAACGGCCTGACACGCTCTCCAGGCCGCGGCAAAAATGACCAGACACAAAGGAAGATCCTTTGTGCGCCCTACAC